AGGGATAAAGCGCTATAAGCTAGGACTGGAGGTAGAAGGGATGTCACAATTGTTGAACAGAAAGTAGTCGAGACGATTGTCTTCGTTTTTCACTTTGATCAGTTACAAATGAGGGTGCGGATTAAGATGCCGACTAAACGTCTAGTAATATGCGAAGTCACTGGCCCAATGATGAAAATTGTCATGACTACCATGGCAGGCCACAGGAATAGGTAGGATTCACAAGGTCTCCTAGTCGTACTGATTAAGTTACGAAATCGAGGTCAGGCCTACACTATAGCAAAAGAAAATTGCGATTAAACCTAGATCAACACCATCTTGATCTTCATATCTACCATCTAATTTCTTATTTGGCTCCTTATTTATTAGGTTCCAGGTCTTTTATGATTTTCGTAGGTATGCTTCGTATTTTTGAAAAGCTCCCTTAGTGATCCCTCATGAGTTTTGACCTAGTTTCTTTACTTGGAATGATGTATTTCTCTCTCATTCAAATGGTTCCTCTAAATTTTTGAGTTTATTATCTATGTCCGATTAAGGCAATTTCTTCGGCAGCACCAAGCATAGAGGATACGGACTTTTTACTTGATCAAGCTCAATTGCTATTTCAATAAAGAAAGGCTTAAGCTCCTTTTTATCTCTTTTTTTTGGGCAATACCCCTTTTTGTTGTGTTAAATTGTATCATTATTCTAAGACAGCTGTTTCTTCCTTATTCTAGGGCGATGTGCACCACTATGGTCATCCGGATCATATTTGAAAGTTATCTTGACTCACCGAGTCAATCTCGGCAAATTCACTCAGTAATTAGCGGGGCAAATGCCCAGTTGAGTCAAAAGAATTAATTTAGCAATCTAGACATGAATCATAGAGGCAAATATTCCTACGCTTGCCATTTTGTTATCATACCTGTGGATGCGTCTGTAAATTAATGGTGAATTTCAAAGTTTACTGCATTATTTGATTCTTTAGAGTTCTTAATGCCGTTCACATATTATTATTGTCCTACACAAGTCCAAGCAAATTTTTGCTCCCTGTTAAACATTGTTAGAGAGACTTTCATTTCGTATGGAAGTGCATTAAGAAAAGGTTGATTCCTGTCGTCTTCTGGTGAGATCGTCCTCCGAATTTCTTCATTATGCACTTTCATAAAAATTGAAAGTCTACTGAACAATGTTATCCTGCATCTGTTATCACTGTTCCTTGTAGTTTAGGCTCGATTCTAGGATTGCGCACTCCATTATTCTCTCTTTATTCTGCCGCTCTGTAGATGAGGCATTATTTAATTATATTACTTTCAAAATGTTTCTTCTTCCTCCAATCACAAGGGTTCTAGTCTAATCAACTTTTATATCCACCCATGTCATGCTCTGTGTTGTGTTGCCAGGCTCTGGAGAGTGAATATGTTAGCGCCCACCTTCATGAATGGATCGACCTCATATTTGGTTACAAGCAACAAGGAGAAGCAGCAGTGGCGGCAAACAATGTATTCCATCACCTTTTCTACGAAGGTAACGTGGACATTTACTCGATCGACGATCCGCTTCGTCGGTCTGCAGTGATTGGCTTCATCAACAACTTTGGCCAGATACCCAAACAGCTTTTCCGGAAGGCACATCCAGCTCGTCGAGTGTTGCTCACACCATACCAGTCTGCTGCAGCTGCAGGCCGACTATTTTATCACAACCTGGAGAACCTGAGACCGACCCTTCAACCACTTAAAGGTAAGGCCAAGATATTCTTTATTGACTTCCAACAGGACAGAAAGAAAGGTAAGCCACTCACAGACAGATATTTTGGCTTATGGCTCGTACTTGTTTGTCCCTTTGCCTGTATTGTTGTGCTTTTATTCAATAATCGTATATAGCTCGTGTGTTAGAATTTCCCTATTGATGACCCCTGGCTCATCTCAAAAGGCATCCTTATGTTCATTATAGTTTCAACAAATCAAACTTAAGTAACTATTCGAAGATATGAAGACCAAGAGGCCCTCGGTATGGTCGCAGTCTCCTTTCGATTAATAGAAGTGGGTTGACCTCGTTTTTGCAACTTGGTCTTGCTGTCAGGGGGACTTAGTTAAACACACCCTGTCCGAAATCCTCCGCTATAGTAGTTATAATAATTTCAAGCATCAGACCGTGGACTTGGTACATTCTCAGACGATTCGACAGCATCATCAGTGGGTCTTGCCATTCTCAGCACCAAACTGAAACTCGTCAAGGAGACAAGTAAAGCCACAGGACGAAAGGCGAACCACTAAGCCTGATAGCCAAAAAGAATGGAACAACAGACAAATAGGCCAACTTCATATGTTTGAAACTCAAGAAATAAATGACATCAATCAAAACACGGTGAATAATTAATATGAATTTTCCAAAAAAATCAAAAACATGACACTGGAAGAAGCAGACGTATTGGTAAGCTTTGATGCAGAATCCATGTATACAAATATTTCTGGAGAGAATACACTAAAAG